AAGAATTTTTTTTGTAAAAACCGAAATAATATAACTTAAGTGGTTATTTTTATCCGAGTTATCTAAAATACCTTAAAATATATGAACAAACCAAATTAACCAAAAGCAATAAAAAACAAAATATAAAATGTACCCGAACTACCTGAACATAGCCTACCTAGAACCAAAATATCCATGGATTAACTTATGTTCTAGGTATTTTGGTATATGTTCTATTTCCGGTTCGATTCCGGTTCTTATGTTCTGAGCATTGTTGGAAATATTGGAATAACGGATGGCTATAAGATAAAATTAATGTTGTGATTGCATTGATTGAACTCATATATCAAAAGGAGATTTTCTCTATAGAAAATCACAATGTGGCATCAATGACATTCACAATATCGTTTCTATCATATTATTCGAGACTGGTGTTTCACTATAGCAATTGTACTGTTAAGATACTTTGACACCATTCTTGAAGATTATCAGAAACGTTCATCGCCAGTTTTCTATTCTTCTTGGAGATGATCCCGTAGAGAAAGTTTTGAGCTTTACTCACTTCCATCATCTTAAACATGCATTTCAATATCACATCTTGCATTCTACACGTCTTCTTTATCTTCTCCCAAAAGACATGCTTATGGACCTAACCATTAGAGAATAGGTTTAGTTTTGATATCTTTATCACTATGAAGTTCTTGATTAATTAAGCTTTCTCAAACTGACTTAGGGCCCTATTTGTAAAAAAATAGGCAGATTTTAAAAAAAAAATTCAAATGGACCATGTGCATAAACACATCCCAAACACCCCATGGGCCGGGCCTCCCTAAACTCATTGTACTTTTACAATGTATCATCATGAACAAATTCTTATGACCACTCACCATCCATGAAATGGCTATGTACCCACAAATCTCTTTCATATCAAGTTCGTATTACCCTTTCTTGATGAGCTTTGAACATGCCTTATAACAATGGTAAAACACATCAATCTGGGAAGCACGATTACTTTGGCAGAAGCTATCTGTTGCCTTGATGATCTGTTCAGAAGAGAAGATGTTGATAACATTTGCACTTTCCATCACTACACTCAACGAGCTCTTTCAGAAAAACCTCACCGTTCTCTTTGACGTTCCTCTGATTTGTCTTGGCTCTGATTCTTTTATTCCTCAACCAATCCATATTATAGATAACTAGAATAGGATCCGCGTTAATACAAGG